TATATATATATATATATATATATATCCAATCTGTATCAATTTGATTGATATTCATTAATATATTTCTTTTGAGATTTTATTTTGCCAATCGGAGTAGTCACCACTTCCAGCTATAAGTCATAAAACACACAACAAAAATTGATAAAGATTCATAAGTTAGGTCCTGGTCTTTCAAAATGGAATCACCATTAATTTTAACAAAGTGGGTAATTGTGATTTTTGTTAATCATCTTGACCAAAGTATATCTAATGAATATTTTATTGAAGTTATTTTATTTATGTGCATTGTTTGAATATCACAAAATTAACAATAAAATAAAAAAAATGGTGAAATTGGGTCGCCAGAACATTTTGACATCACCTACTAAGCCACCCGAGCTTATCTGGTGTCTTGCCATGGAAGAAAATTTCTATAGCTTTTGAACAGATATATTTTCACACAAAAACATTTTCAGGAATAAACGAAACATCTAACAAAACTATAACAAAATTTTCACATCTTTGATTTGTTTCTAAGTTTTTCTCAATTTCCAATTAGGCTTTTTTATTTATATCTACAGCAGATCAGCTAGTCACTTCCCATTAAACCATTAATTACTGCTCAAACCACTTTATTTAGTCTACATTGAAATAAGCAGTTTATAATATACTCTGTCCACCTGCATTTAAATGTTGCCTGCAGATATTTTTAAAGCTGTGCATAATTAGTAATTGTTCAAAGCACATGGTGTGACATCATAATAGGGTGGGAAAAAAAAAGACTGTAGTAATAAAACTACCAATACAGAAACAAGACATGGGTAGTTATATTTTCATGAGATAATAGTTTGTTAGCAGATATTAACCTATGCTTTGTGATTGGCAGAAAAAACTACATAAAAAATTTATAAGTGTATGGTTCACAGGCAAGACTCCACAAAGCTGTACAGAAATTAAAGTAGGAACATTGTCTTAATATTTCTTTGAGGATTACACTAAATAAATGTTACAAATTCTAAAATATATTTCAGTAGAAAATGATTGAAATGGTTTGCTGTATTATTTCTACCTAGATTTTGAAACTTGATATTCAGGTGTGCACTCATCACCTGACAGGTGCTCTGCAGTCTGGATAGGATTAAAATAAATGGAATTACTGTATTTCCTAACTTTCCAAAGTAAAGTAATGTTTTTTATTATTATCTCATTATTTAAGAACCACTAAACAGCCTGAAATTACAATAATTAACTTAAGCTTTCAAGGAATGCCTTAGTTAAGTTTAAAAACATAACTACACAACTAGATAAAAACAATGCTAGCACCTCTGGCAAACCTACTGGCTTGACAAATGAAATATTAATATACTAAGTCTGAAAAACAAATTACAAGATTAAGTCAAATGACAACAAATTTCAACAGAAAAAAACAACAACAACATACTTATGATATTTTTACTTTCCTACAACTTTCAAGTTATTTACAGATAATTCTGAAAGCAGAGTTATCATTATTTTTTATTCCAAAATATTATGTATTAATAATTTCTTTCACAGAATTAAAGACAACATACATTTATTGTGCTAATAA